TTTTTTAACCTTAAAAAAAAATAGAAACAATCCAATTTAAAAATGCGCAAATGAGCTAACAGACAACTCTCCAAGGAAGACATACAAATGAACAGTCAAAAAACATGAAAAAATGCTCAACGTCTTTTTTTTTTTTTTTGAGGTTTTTGCTATTGGGCGTGTGCGCTCGCCAGACAGACAGAGACAGAGAGACAGAAAGCGAGAAATCATCCCCCAGGGGGGATGGCCACGCCGCAATCCCTTCTCCCCCATTCTCCTCTTGGAATCTTGGGCACGCATGCACACGCGCCTGGCGTGAGTTTTAAGCCACTGGGTCCGGGATGTGAACCGCGGTAGACTACATGGGAGTCCAATGACATAGGTATTACGCTAACTGCTGGTCCCTCAACATCTTTTATCATAAGGGAAATGCAAATCAAAACCGGGATGAAATACCACTTACCCCCAGTCAAAAGAGCTAAGATATTTTTCTTTTAAAGAGAAATTTTTGCTATAGGGTGTGTGTGCTTGCTGGAGGTACAAGAGACAGTGAAGGTGAGAATTCATCCCTGAAAGAGATGGGCATGCTGCAATCCTGTCTCCTCTATTCTCCTCTTGGGTTTTTGGGCACACATGCTGACACACCTCACATTGAGTTTAAAGCCACAGGGTCTGGGACTCAAACGGTGGTTAACCATGTGAGAGTCCAGCATCTTAACTACTATGTCACCTGCTTGCCCCAAGAATGAATAAGAATAAAAAAATAAATAATAAGTTCTGGTGAGGTGGTGGTTAAAGAGTAACTTTCCTACACTGTTAGTGGGACTGCAAACTAAAACAGTCACCGTGGAGAACAATATGGAAGTTCCTCAAAAACCTACAAATTTAACTACCATACAACTCAGCAATTCTACTCCTAGGTATTTACCCAAAGGATAGAAAAACAGAATAAAAAAAAACTTGTACATCCACATTTACTGCAGCATTATTCATAACTGCTAAGACATGTAATCAACTCAAATGTCCAAGAACACATGATGCATTGAAAAAACTGTGGCACATATACACTATGGACTACTACTTAGCCATAAAAATCAATGAGATCTTGGCATGTTACAAGGTGGATGAAAGAATTCATGGTAAGCAAAGCAAGCAAGACTATGGAAGAACAGCATCGTATTTCCCTGCTTAATGTATATGCAAAACATCTGCATTCTCTGGCAGAAACTGAAAGATTGAAAGGTATAATAGCAGGGAGGGCAACTGTAGATACTGGAGACAATATGGAATAATGGAGACAGGTGAGTAATAGAGAGTGGGAGTAAAGGGATCAGGAGAAAAAAATCTAACAGACACAAAAATGAGAAATTATCTGTTTATGATAATGTATATGGTAATATACGCCTGGCGTGAGTTTTAAGCCACCAGGTCCGGGATGCGAACCACGGTCGACTACGTGGGAGTCCAGCGACATAGTCATTATGCTAACTGCTGGTCCCTGTACAGGTAATTTTTATAGCCTAGGAAGGAAAACTGTTCCAATACTCTAATTTTTCCTATAACCTCCTCAATAAAAGTCTATACTTTTTTTTTGGAGAGGTTTTTACTATAGGACGCGTGCACTCGCCAGACAGACAGAGACAGACAGACAGAAAGTGAGAAATCACCCCCCAGGGAAGATGGTCACACGGTAATCCCTTCTCCTCCATTCTCCTCTCGGGATCCTGGGCATGCATGCACACGCGCCCAGTGTGAGTTTAAGCCACCGGGTCCAGGACGCGAACCGCAGTCAACTACGTGTGAGTTCAGTGACATAGCCATTACGCTATAAAATTCTAAAACCTTTCTAAAGCTAAAATCAAGTGTCAAAGCAGTTGTTTTTGAAATGAAAAATTAATAGCCTAGGCTGTCAGTGATTTTCATCCATGAACAGTTTCACAGACTTCTATTAATGCTTTCTTGCCATAACCTATCAGTCCAAATAAAAATGCTCAGAACTATAGAATTCTTTTATTTATTCATTCATTCATTTATTTTAATTTCACCAGAGAGGTACACAGCAGGAAAGAGAGAGAAAGGAGAGAGAGGGAAAGTGAGAAAGCAAACTACCAGGTCCAGGACTTGAACCACTGTTGGCCATTTGGCCAACTGCCGGTCCCAGAACTATAGAATTCTTAGCAGCCCATCCGTCCTAAACTACAAGATATCTGAATTACTATTCTTTTAGATTTTCATTCTCCAGTTATATTATAATCTAGACAAAAACCTGGTTTAGCTATAAAGAGCTGACAGAAATTCAGCTAATTTCAGTATCCAAAGTTAAGGTAGCTTATGATGATAAAAATGAATCAGTGGGCCAGCACATGGCATGGGAGCTAAGGCACTAGATCCCACATGGCTGACTTTGCAGTTCAAGTCCTGGACCCAACAGCTTGGAAATCATGCCAGGCACCTGTGCAAGCATTCCCAAAATCCTGAGTGGAGACTGGAGGAGGGATTGTGGTGTAGCCATACCACCCATCAGTGGGGGGTATCTTTCTCTGGTGAACATACATATCCTATAGGAAATCAATTAATCAATTAGAGGCTAAACCTAAACAAACACCAGCTGCTCAAATGAAAAAAATGTTTTCCAAACTCCATTAAATACAGATTCTAAGAAAATAAACCATTTCAATACAAAACACCCTCAGCAAATACCCAAACATCTAATGTAGGGTGAGTAAGGGATTTTAGATTCTCTATCAGAACCAATTAACTGTCCAAAAATACCAGATTAACTTCCTCAAAATATATGATAATCCAGTAGAACAGGATATTACAAAGCTATCTTTTTGAAGCTTCGAAATATTTATATTTGTAATGTATCCCATAAAGAAGTAAAGGCAATCTGTACAGATCAGATAAACTGAGTAAGAAGCTTTAAGTATTTATTCCCATTTTGATATTATCTTATATGTCAAAATATTTCTTTTTAAAAAATAATTATTTTAACTTTATTTATTGGTTTATTTGTTTATTTTTGGAGAGTCAGGAGCTAAGTCTAGACCAAGTAGCAGCAATTCAGGAGGAATAGAGGCAATATAAAGATTTATGTTTTAATTAATTAATGTTTAAAGATTTAACTTTAGTAATATCATCTTTTTTTTTTTTTTTTAAAAAAAAAGGTTTTCGCTATAGGGCATGTGCACTCGCCAGACAGACAGAGACACAGAGACAGAAAGCGAGAAATCGCCCCCCAGGGGGGATGGTCACGCCACAATCCCTTTTCCTCCATTCTCCTCTTGGGATCTTGGGCACACACACACGCGCCTGGTGAGTTTTAAGCCACCGAGTCCGGGACGCGAACCGCATCGACTACGTGGGAAACCATTGACATAGCCATTATGCTAACTGCTGGTTCCCAGTAATATCATCTTTTTTTTTCTTTTGGAGAGGTTTTTGCTATAGGGCGCGTGCGCTCGCCAGACAGACAGAGATGGACAGAGAGATAGAAAGCGAGAAATCACCCCCCCGGGGGGGATGGCCACACCGCAATCCCTCCTCGTCCATTCTCCTCTCAGGATCTTGGGCACACACGCACATGTGCCTGGCGTGAGTTTAAGTCACCAGGTCCGGCACTCGAACCGCGGTCGACTATGTAGGAGTCCAGCGACATAGCCATTACGCTAACTGCTGGTCCCAGCAATATCTTTTAATTTGACCAGAGAGGGAAAGTGAGAAAGCAAGCTGCCAGGTCTGAAACTCAAACTGCGGTTGGCCAAGAGGGAGTCCAGTCCCTTAACCATCACACCACCTGCCGGCTTCTTAATTTATTAACTTATTTTTGAAAGATGGCATCTCATCATTCTTAGGCTTATCTATATATAGTTTTTTTGCATCATTTTTAAATCAAGATGTTCTGTCACAGAGTAAAATCAAGATAAAAATGACTCCTCCTCCCTCTGTTCCAAGTTCAAAATATAATAGAAATGTTAAGACCTAGTACATAACCTCAGTAGTGTTCTTAAGTTGACTGATAGACATATTTTAATAGAAAACTAAGAAGGTTCAGCTTGTCTACATGACCAAAATCAAGCATCAGGGCACTAAAGTAGTTTTGTTTTCTTACTAAAATTAGATTAGTTGTTAGAAAGCTAGACTACAATCATAAGCAAATCTTGTGAGAAATGAATACTTGCTAATACAGCCACAGAACTTAAAAACCACTTCATGAAGATTACATTATTATAAGCAGAGCCCACTTATTAACACTACAGGAATATGAACCTTTCCTCTCCCTGCTCCCTATCCTCCATGCCTAGAAAGTAAAGGAAGTCACCAAGGATGCACTGTCCTCTACAAATTAACTTAGCCAGAGTGTGAAACAACTTCATACAAAATGCAAACAATAAACTGGAATGTTCCTTTTGAAAACAGTCCTAAGTTTAGAGTGTAAGTTTCAGACTCAGAACATTTGGAAAGAAGCCTAATAAAATGCTGAGCATATGTAACAAGTTAGCTATCCAAAAAAGTTTACAGGACAGTTAAAACTGTAGCATTTGGAATTTGTCAGATAATCACCCTGAGTCAAGATAATAAAAAAGTGAAGCTTCAGGTAGCCACAAATATAAGTATGACAACAAAAAGGATGGATATGTGACAATATGAGAAAATACCACCCACAAAACACTCTGAAACAGAATGAAAGCCACGAAATTCTGGAAATAAGCCTATTTATTATGAGCACAAAGAGTCATGATGAAATAGGCTTTCTTCCTTTTTCTGGCTCTGTCAGACTATTAAGTTGTTTAAATGTGCTGAAGTGTAGATACAAATAAAATTTAGCATAAACAAATTTTAAAAATTCACTACAGTGTGCACACAGTAAATAAGAAAGTATATATACTTAGTATTTAAATGACCAAGATAATATGATATAGATTGATGTATTATTTAATTCTCCCAAAATACCCCCTCCTTTCCTAAGCAATTATGAATAATACATAGGTCTATCACAACGAATGCATGATTCAACTCACATTGTTTCTCCAGTCTTTGCTACATGACAAAGAAACTGATCCAGGACAGGACAAACTTCCTTTTTCCCCCTCTTTTCAAAATCTAGAAAAGGAAAGAAAAAAATGTTACCAGTATTTCCCAAATGCTCTCTAAAAACAAACTTTCTTCCCAGACCTTTCCAATATTCAACAATTTTTTTTAAAAGTTAGACTCTTAATCAAATATCCACCTTGACCTTCCACGCTCTACTTGCAACACATCCTCTTGTTTATAGGTAACTAGAATCCTCTTAAAGGGGCCAAGTAACTTTCCCAAAACCATCCTTAATGCAGCGTTTCTCAAAGTGTGCTGCGGAGGAACACCAGCATCAGATTCATTTGGGAATACGTCTAAAATTAAAATCCTCAGGCCCAGATTCCCACGAATTGTTTATTAAGTGAAGTCTATAAAAGTGCTTTCAAGAAACACCAGCTACCCCAAATATCCCTCTTCAAATAATCCTGGATATCACACAATAATTTCGAAAACGCTGAAGCCACGCTACTCTAAGTTTGAGAACCACTGCTTTCAAGCCTGTTGCTTGGAAGGCGACCACCTTAGAATTACCGGCGCGAGGAAGATGACTTCAGAGGCCTGAAAAAGGCCTTAAAAGTTGTTCAGCCACCCTCCACACCCCCATTTTACTTTTCCTCTCGCGCCTAGCGTGCGGGGGGGTGGGGGAGGGAGCCTTGGCAGAGAACAGGGCCTGCCAGGGAGGTAGGCGGCTGCAGGCCCCCGACCCTTGTCCGAAGGGGTGGGAGAAGATCTGGGGCCCCAAGCAAGAGCTTCCCGGCTCCCCTCCCCCAGCC